CCTCTCCCTGCCCAGCCCTTCAAGTCCGTTCCCCTTGACTGTCGTTTCGCTAGATAGTAACTCGGGACAGAGGGAATCTCATTACTCCATTCATGTGCGAACCCATTCGCACCGCAGGGCAGTGGACCAGCGCCAAGGAGCCACACCTCCACTCCACTCGCTCACACACAAACCCCACAGAGGCCGCAGTGGAGTGGTCCAGCAACACAAAGTGTCCTTCCCCCTCACAGTGCACACACACAATGACAGTCTCACATGCTCATGTCAGAGAGGCACTGCGGCATTCACTAAAATACACACTAAGTCACACACCTACAGATAGGAAAAGAAAAACCCAAGAAAACAACAACAACAGGATACCAACAGCACACAAAGCACTCACAATACAATAATCACAGCCGCCACTCCCATCAGAGAAAAACATTCACCCACACCAGCACATCAACCCAATCCCAAAAAGAAAGAAAACAAGCCCATTACGTGAAGCGGAAGCGGACCAGTCTCAGTCCACATCCCCCTCGCAGGATGCAGTCACTCAAGCAAGCCACACACAACACAAGAGCAGTAATATCTCCGTGGCAATGCCGTGAGTGACAACACTGAGAGAGAAGGCAAGAACAAAGAAATGTGTTTTCATTACGTGGGTGGTGCGAGTAGCAACCCAAACACACAAAGGAACACACAACAGAGGGGCACACTCAAACACCTACACAACCCATCAATCCTTATACCAAAATAAAAATGCAAAAAAAAAGAGTGACTGCATGAGGCAGACACAATAATAGAGCAAAGATGTAACAAGAAAAAAGAAAATCATTACTTACTGTGGCTGCGATGCCTGGACACAGTCCAATCCACCCCAAGGTTAACAACGGAAAACCATTGTGTACTGAACCTGTTGTGCCCATAACCTTTATTCTTGATGTCCGTGCAGCAGTTTGTATATAATGAAAAAAAGAACCATTCCATGAAAATGAACACACAAGATACACAAGGTGTATCGGAAACGCAAAAGAGAAACACACAACTGCAGATAACGTGCAATGAAATTATAATGAAACACATACACACAAGGGAAAAACAATAAAATAAAAACAAACAAAAAGAAAGCCATGATCACCATGTGAATATGTTCAGGAGGCAACAAACACAACTCCCAGCAATAGGTGTGTCTTTCGTACAGAGCGAGCAGTAGGAATGATGCACACATGATGACAGTCCACACACACACACAAAGAGAAGGAGGGTTGGTAGTGTGCGTGTTTGTTTGTGTCTTGAACCTCCTGCCATTCCTCACATTTTAGTCACAGCAATTATAACACATTGGGATTGTATCTCATTCCCATGGGTAAAAGCAATAATTAGTAATATCACGTGACACACACACATCACCATGAGGACACAGTAAATGGTGGCAAAACAGTGCCCAGATAACAATGCCAACAAACAAAAAGGACACTCCCCTTACAAAATGATGGTTTGTCATGTGATGAGTGTCATAGGGAGATCAATAGAAGTGTTCAGCAAAAAAATGCAAATAAGAGATTTATCGTGCTGAAAAAAAATGCTGACATTTAACCAAAAAAAACAGTGACCTTACAATGCATCCATATCCACTCAAACAAAGGTTAACTGTGCGGCCGTGTAATGTGAACACCGATTACCACACGAGAGTGCAACCCATTACAGTGAGCAGAAGAAGAATCAAGGAACTGTGCACCAATGCAGGACTGTTGCTGTCATCTCTCTTTTTCTTTGCCTCAGCCACGGCTGCTGCTTGTCTCTCCTTCTCTTCTCTCTCCCTCTTCGCCTTCTCGGCCGCCTCCTCCACCCTCTTGGCTTCCTCGGCAGCTTTTCTTTCCTTCTTTTCTCTCTCCCTCTTCGCCTTCTCGGCCGCCTCCTTCACCCTTTTGGCTTCCTCGGCTGCTTCTCTCTCCTTCTTTTCTCTCTCCCTCTCGGCCGCCTCCCTCTCCCTCTTCGCCTTCTCCGCAGCCAACTGTCTCTCCCTCTCCTGCTGTCTGGCTCTTTCTTCAGCCAGTATCCTTGCCCTTTCCGCTTCTACCTTTACCACCTCGAACTCCTTCTTAAATGCTTTAATGTCCTCCTGCAATTCTCTAGGTCGATCCACAAGGAGAGTTGCGTTGTCCCTGTTAAAGTACCTCGCAACATCATTCACGCCGAAACCACTTTCGTTCCCTTTCTTCACATTCACCACTTTCACATCATCGGCATCCCTTATCTCCCTGTCCCTATTCCTTTGTACGACCCTTCTCTTTTCTTTTTCACCCGCCAGCGCTTCCCACGCGGCATTCTCTTTGTCCCCGAGAGCCGTCCCATCGTGATTCCCGATCAACGTTGCCAACTCCCCCACCTCTTTCCTCAAATCCATCCAATCGTGGTCCCCGAAAGTGTTGCAAAGACGAAGGTCATTGGTCTTATTTTTGATTTTTTCCGTGACATTGTTCGCCCTATAGTACAATGCGTAACTGGTCTTGAAAAACTCCTCGGCCTCTTCCTGATTGGCCGCGTTCGACTTCTCGCTTTCGTAATATTGCAGATGTTGCAAAAACAAAGGCACGACAGGCGCCAGGTTTTGCTGGAAGACCCCGCACATCTTCTCCCTCAACTTGGTTTTATTAACCGGATCACTACAACCGCGGGCGGCTTCACCGGCCACCGGTATCATTTTCTTGGCTTTGTCCACCAACCCAACCAACGGTTCTTCAAGCGGTTCTTTGGGGACCACTTTCCCCACACCACCTATCTTACTCTTGATTTCACCTGTAAGAATCCCGATTTCCCCCCTTAGTTTTTTAACTTCCCCGCATTTCCCCACACACAACGGCAGTTGGGTCTCCCATAAATACAGACAGGCCTCCACGTCCTCAAGACTTTGTTTTGTTTCCCTTACCGACCGATCCACCGCCTTCTTTGCCACCAAAAACTCCCCATCCCGTGCGGGTTGTGCCTGGCTCACGGTTGTACAACACTGCAGAAGTACCAACAGGTACACCACACGGCGCAGGTGGACGAACACCGTTGTCATGATTGTCACTGTGGGTTGCTTGGATCTATGGTAACAAGGAAGAAGAGGAAAAGGAGAAAAGTAGACGCACATTTAACACACAAGGCAGTGGGTACACATCACACAGAAAGAGAGAGAGAACACACATCACAACAGCAATTAAACACAACCCAATGAGGGGTGCAACAGTAAACCACTCACACAATAAAACACACCCAGAGTTACACAGATAATGAAACAACACCTTGAATTCAGAAGAAGTGGAAAACAAATGGTATCAAAACAATATTAAACAATCCTCACTACACACACTCCAATATCTTACTCGGTATTCATACACACAAAGTGTGTCTGTATTCTCATTATAATAAAATCATTACCAGGCAGTTTGAACACCAAAATACACCAAAAACACGGTGTATGCCTGGCAACATACAAAAACAATAACACAAATCATCAGCAAAACAAAGAGACTGTACAATAATCAACACACTTCCAAAGGGGAAAAAGAAAGAAGAAACCAATGCATCACCATAATATTTATACCAACACCACAATTGGAATCTAAAACCCACTCACTCACAACCATAACAAAAATGACTGCATACATCACTGTAATACCATGCCACTCTTTACAAACAGAGGCAACACACAATTACTCTCTCACTCACACACATATTACCTCTTTATTTATCCTTATTATTATTATTTTATTTTTCCATCAGAATGCCACTTCGCCTCTTCTTCTCCCACAGCATTATCAGCAAAAATAAAAAAATGGCATCCATGCGCACACACATAATTCACTCTATGGTGTGTATTAGGAGGGTACGATCCAACATATCCCCCACCCAAAAAGGGACACCACACACCACACCACCACGTTTATTTTTATTTTCTGTTCTTCGTGGTTTTATGGATATTACTCCAATGGAACGGGCCATCAAGAATAATACATAAATATACATAAATACAATTTGTTTTTATATTATTTTTTTTACTACCGTTGGGCATGGGAAGTACGCATTGTTAATGAAATTATAATGGATCTCGTAGGTGGCAAAACATGGATTTTTTTTTCGCCTCTCTGAGTCCCCTCAGCGGCCAAATCCAATTACCATCACTGGAGGACATAATTGTTATTATCTCTAGGGTCCGTGCTTCTCCCTAGCGGCATTCACACTAAGGTGAAATATGTAAAAGAAACTGTTGCTGATGGTACGCCGGCACGCGCCCCAGGACTTTCTTGGATAAAGTTTTGTCCCAGTACGACTCTGCTGGCCCCGGTGCTGTATGAGATTTGTAGCTTATGAACCCGTAAACTNGGTACTTGTAGAATGAGATTCAGTTTGCACATTGTGGGACTTCAATTTTTCAGCAGCGGTTTGGGCATTGGTTGTAACCGTCCTTTCCATGGAACAGGCGCGGTTGGATGGCCACACCATGTCGCGAGGGGAACGGGGAAGGGTCATCTTTGCGGAATACCTTTCAAACCCATCTTACTCAGCGTTGAAGTAGGGAAAGCAAGAGTTTTCCACTAT